TTCATAGACGAGAGGACAATGCATCGAATTGCCGGGGAGTTGTCGGGCATCTTCGTGTGCATTTGAAAGAAAACAGGTACGCAAGGCACTTTGTAAAAAAAAAATCTGTGAATAAAGGAAGTTCTCTTGCGTCATATGGCATTGCACGGGAGACTTCGTGAGAGGTATTTCATCATCACACACATGTTCCCACCATTAAAGAGAGACCCCCATAAACAAACCCACGATAGTTCAAGTGCCAAACTCGACTCCCATGCTTTTACATTTGTTTTCCATCCTCCCGCCGCCCCTCGACTGAAAAAAGCCAAGAGGTTTCTTTTTTTCAGTTTTTTTTTTAAACATGTGTTTGGTATTTGAGCTGCATGTTTATGAGATGGAACAGTAGTAGCATAGTGGTTCACTCGTTGCATGCTGAACCCGGTGACCCGAGTTTGATTCTCTGCCACGGGTAAAGGATAGAATCAGAGGAAAGTGGTGTCCTGACCTGATCCCAGGCCTACTTTCATCAACCCGTACTGACTAGGGAAAGTAGTTAAACAGCCCCTACCTCCAACACAGTGTTGCTAGGCCTGTGGCCTGCAGATGACTGACACATTGTCGTGAGTAATTATACTTAAACGTCTCATCTCAGCAGACCACGATTATACATGTGCGTTTTAAAAGATGGAATTCAAGTCTAAATGGTCATATTATGAGCCGAATTGTGAAAACGGAAAACGTGCAAACTCAGAGGGTGTTCATTAACGGCATGCATACATCAATACAAATGTACAATTTTATGCGAATGTTTGAAAGGCTTTGTGTTGTACAATATAGGTACGGTATTGAAATAGTAATTGCATTGTTGTTCCAAATGGGTCCACACACTTATAAAGAAACAGCAGGGGGCAGGCGACACCCTATGTAACCCGAGCCTAGCCGCTACATCAAAGGGCTGCCTTATTCTCCATAGGATTAGCGATCGAAAAATGTCATAAAATCAAGTGAAGGGAGATGCGTAGGCGGCTGTGTGAACACGTGTTCGTTGTCTTCCATGGCAATGCGCGATTATTATCTCACCTTCGTTTGGGCAATGTTGACATCAGAAGCCCCCAAAGTGGAATAGTCCAATGCGCGCTCTCTTTCTCTCTTTCTCAGAGTGATATCTGGGTGCACTTTCACATTGCGAAGTCAACGTTTCGACCACTGGTTTTCCAAACCCGTGGTCCGCACGCCACTCGCTGGTGGAGGCTCTGCAAGGCCGTTGGGAAGCGGCCCGAGGAACGGCTTCAAGACACGAGGATTGTTTTGCTTCACAAAACGCCCATGCGTTTTTTTTACTGTTCATTGCACAACTAGCGACATCAGCGACCTCGTGAATGAGTCACGAATAAGCGAGTTCATCATCGTTATACCTTTTAAAATGAACAATACATGGCGCTTTTTAGAGCCGTTTTCATTTGATGTTTTTTTTTTAATTGGTGGTTGTTGTTGGTGTGCCAACATTTGTTGTGGCTTGCCTGTGGCCCTCGTGTTCACAACTGTTGGGGACCACTGGACTGGCGGTCAAGCACAACGCATCCAGGGCCACCCGAAACATTGTTGGAAGCAGACGCATTAGCTACGTTAGTAAATGGAATTCGGCCAATTGTCTCCTTTAAGCAATGTGGATAATGAAGCTGAAGAAGCCTGCAGTGTAGCTACGGTCCGCTGAGCCGTGTAGTGGATTATTGCATGGTGGTGCAATTTGACTGTCTAACTTCAAACGACATCTCCTGATAAATTGGTTGTCTTTGTTAGCCCCTACATCCAAAATAATCATTTCCATGCCTCAACTGTCAATTTCAGTGACAATCCGTTGGAACAATTCCACACAACAATTTAAGAGCCACGCTTTTATATGCCAATTTCCTCCTCGGCGCCTGGACACATGGTGCACGTGCACTTAATGTATATATATTTTTTATTTACTTTCGCGCACGTACATTATGCATTAACTTGAATTTGAAACATATATATCTGTTGGTTCAAACCGACACCGGCTGAGTTCCCGGTTTGGAATGCGAGAAGCCATCCGCGATTAAACCATGGTCTCACCAAGTGTCGTGGAGTGATGGTCTAAGCCCGCTGACCAATGACTGCACGAAAAAAAATCACATTTAATTCGGATTTGCATTTAATGTGTCTATATTCCATCTCTTGATGATTATAAACATGCCGGTTTGGGCTATCGTGTGACGCATGCATCAGGGAGCTTGGGAAAGTGCTGCCCCCTGGTGTAGGATGAAGTCACTCGATGGGATTTCAGAAATTCTGTGATTCTAGATTTGAAGCTTTCGTGACTGCAAAGATTCATACTCTTCGTTTTTTTCGGTAAAGTCACGTAGGTAAAAAAAATAATAGAAATATATTATTATTTTATTTATCTTCTTGGTTCTTTTGGTAAAGTCACGTAGAAGGGAAATAATAAAATAATAAAAATAAAACATAATTAAATAATTCTCACGACGTTTCGGCCACAACGCAAGCAGCCGTCCTCAGGTGAAGAACAGCACTGTCGGAAAGACAGTGTCTGAATGACACTGTCTTTGAACAGGTCTGTCGGAAAGACAGTGTCATTCAGACACTGTCTTTCCGACAGACCTGTTCTTCACCTGAGGACGGCTGCTTGCGTTGTGGCGGAAACGTCGTGAGAATTATTTTATTATGTTTTATTTTTATTATTTTATTCATTCCCTTCTACGTGACTTTACCGAAAAAACCTAAGAGTTCTGTGATACCTGCTGCTGCAGCCTGTTCTCTAACGTGGTTGGGGGGGGGGGGGTCACTGCTCTGCGGTAGTTCCGAACGGACTGTTCATCTCATGACATGACGCCCCCAGCACAATAAAGAAAACACGAGAAAAAAATATAAACGAATCTGCATGCTCCTAACACATCGACTCCGCAGTCTCTAAAACAAGAAAACTGGATTATTTGCACCCCACGTGTTGATGTCATCACATTTATTTGTTTAAAAATGTTCCAAGTGGATGGTTTCAGCAAGCATAACGTGTAACCTCTCTCGTCTCCCCAGTGCTGAAGTTTAAACACCGCACTGATTTGTCTTCAATACAATGTCGATTTTGTATGTATCTTAAATGTATCTTGCACTTATTTCGCCCCATACGTATCCAACCGTGCTCATCAGAGGTGTCGTTGTGACAGCCTTCGCTGTGTGGAACGTAACCGTTTCCCCTCTGCTACCCCCAGTAACCTTGAGTTCCCTCCCACTGGTGATCCGTGCTGACAACTCGTGACCCCTGTTCAAGGCTCATGGTCTTCCCCTTCTTCCTCGGTCTTCGTCGTGGAGGAAGACATTCAAACGCTTCCTTGTATCCCTCGTGACGCGCACGTCCCACTCACGTGTGCAGCATCACGACAAGAGATAGCTTTCGGACAGACGTGTACACATAGACAAAGCTACGACTGTTCTTGCTGTTATTATGCACAGCTGGAGAAACTAAGGGGCCGTCCATAAATGATGTCACTCACCTGGGGGGGGGGGGGGGGTCAGACATTTGTGACGATGTGTGACGACGGGGGGGGGGGTTTGAGAAATATGACGTCACATCAAAATGCTCAACTTTAAATAAATATAAACAACACGTTCTACCTAATTAAATATACTTGTTGAAAAGTGTTTTCTCCTACAACATTAGAGTGCAGCGGCACATTAAATACGCACTGCAATCACAATAGTTTAAAGCGATTTGAAACATGTTTTTGTTTGGGGGGGGGGGGGCAGAGCTTTGTGACGTCATATCTCTGACTTTTTGTGACGCCGTGTGACGGGAGGGGGGGTCAAAAATCGTCCAAAATCGCGTGACGTCATTTATGGACTGCCCCTAACCACATTTCCTGGAAGCACAGTGCAGTGTACTCTGGGAGTGCACACTACTTATTAAGCTAGGTTAGCACACAAGTAGGGTTATCACCTCTGCTGCTTTTGCTAGGACACCCCCTCTGATGCAGCTGTCATTTGAATATCTGTAAGTATTCCCAGGACACATTAAAGGTCAGGTTTTTTTGTCAGTTGCATAATTACACACCAATCAAGACGATGCATTTATAAGCGATTCTCCCCTCCACCACAATTGTGAGATATTATAATTCACATGTCCCAGTTGTTTGTACCTCAGAGGTGACAACCCTATTCGCACTGTGCTATGAATAATCAGGGCTATTTCCTGAAATGTCACCTATTACATGTTTTCCTGAAGGCCACTCAGCGTTATTGATGAATGTGTTTGAGTCTCTACATAGCGTGGGTGGTAAAGCCAGCACCACACCTGGATACAGCTGTCTCCCTCGTGCTGATGTTCACATACCTTGCCAAGTACTCTCTCCCCCTATAGCCTTAACAGACTGTTGGGGCAAGTGCTTTTTTAAGGCTGAGTCCACCGGTTCCAACATTCGCGACTGTTATTGGTCGTGAGCGGGAATCGAACTCTGGTCGGCAGCTTCTAAGCAACGCGCTCACCACTGCGCCACCGCTCCCCAATCTCTCGCTCTAACACACCGTTACTTGTTGATTGGGGACTTCTGAAAGGCTCTTATAATTTCGTTGACAAATGGACAAACGGAACGGAAGTATTTGTGTATGTATGTAATGTTTTTTTTAAGAGAAAACAAGTTTTGAAAAAAAAATTCCCTCCCGGGCAAAAGCCGGAAACTTCCTGCTAGTACTTTATACAAAGATGAGACACACACACACGGACATCTACCCTAGTAATTTATACAAAGACGAGACACACGCACACACGGGCGTCTACCCTAGTACTTTATATAAAGATGAGACACATACACACGGGCGTCTACCCTAGTACTTTATACAAAGACGAGACAGACACACACACGGGCATCTACCCTAGTACTTTATACAAAGACACACACACACACACGGGCGTCTACCCTAGTACTTTACACAAAGACGAGAGACGCACACACGGGCGTCCACGAGATGTTGTGACCACGGCGAGTGAGCGTGCGTGAGTGAAATGAGGAAGTGAATCACCATCATCATTGTCATCATTGCAGTTGTGCCCTGCGCTCTTTAAACTTGCCCGGGCAGTCGTCGCGCGCTCCAATCACCGTTGAGTCGCCGCAGGTTTTACACACGGTGGGTGGAGTGGGTGGTGGTGGTGGTGGTTTTGTGGGTGTGGCGGGTGGTGGTGGTGTGTGTGTGGCGGGTGGTGGTGGTGTGTGTGTGGCGGGTGGTGGTGGTGTGTGTGTGGCGGGTGGTGGTGGTGTGTGTGTGGCGGGTGGTGGTGGTGTGTGTGTGGCGGGTGGTGGTGGTGTGTGTGTGGCGGGTGGTGGTGGTGTGTGTGTGGCGGGTGGTGGTGGTGTGTGTTGGGGGGTGGTGGTGTTTGTGGGGGGTGGTGGTGGTGTGTGTGTGGGGGGTGGTGGTGGTGTGTGTGTGGGGGGTGGTGGTGGTGTGTGTGTGGGGGGTGGTGGTGGTGTGTGTGTGGGGGGTGGTGGTGGTGTGTGTGTGGGGGGTGGTGGTGGTGTGTGTTGGGTGGTGGTGGTGTTTGTGGGGGGTGGTGGTGGTGTGTGTTGGGTGGTGTCGGTGTGTGTGGGGGAGGTGGTGGTGTGTGTGGGGGGGGGGTGGTGGTGGTGTGTGTGTGGGGGGTGGTGGTGGTGTGTGTGTGGGGGGTGGTGGTGGTGTGTGTTGGGTGGTGGTGGTGTTTGTGGGGGGTGGTGGTGGTGTGTGTGGGGGGGTGGTGGTGTGTGTGTGGGGGGGTGGTGGTGGTGTGTGTTGGGTGGTGTCGGTGTGTGTGGGGGAGGTGGTGGTGTGTGTGGGGGGGGGGGTGGTGGTGTGTGTGGGGGGGTGGTGGTGTGTGTGGGGGGGGGGGGTGGTGGTGTGTGTGGGGGGGTGGTGGTGGTGTGTGTTGGGTGGTGTCGGTGTGTGTGGGGGTGGTGTGTGTGGGGGTGGGATGGTGGTGGTGTGTGTGGGGGGTGGTGGTGGTGTGTGTGGGGGGTGACGTTTAAAGTCCCGTGATGCTCGCAGAGACCGCGTCTGGCTGCGCACCATCCAAGCAGGAAGGGAACTCAACTTGCAGCGACCCCCCCCCCCCCCATCATCGGCGAGTTCCCTTCCACGCGAGAGGCAGACAACTTGTTATCACGCCGTGCGGAGAGAAACTCAACAAAAGTTACTTTGACGCCGGTAAGATTCTCTTCAAGCCGAGTTTACTTTCGCACTATCACAACTACAACAAGAACGACGACTAAGTCTTGGATGCCGCGTGAACGCTGATGTTTTGCCACTCCACTTGCGAGTATTTGCGACTGGGTTTTTATTTAATTGTTTTGCTGCGCATTCTTTTCCGGCCTCGCTCGTTTGGAGGAGCCGCCGCGGTTATGGGAGAGGCTACGTTCATTCCTCGTCGATGTGTTCTCAAGCCAACCCCAACATGAACGTGGATGGGGGGGAGGTAGTGAGTCAGTCGCACGCAGTTATTTTCTTACGCTGCGGTGCCACTTTACGCAACGTAAACGTGATCGCACGAACTGTAGAGCTGCAGCAAAACGTCAAGGTCCCATTGCATGGCATGGCAGCAGCGTGTGCCAAACGGGAGGGCCTGTATTCACGATGGTATATACATTCACGATGGTATATACATTCACGATGGTATATACATTCACGATGGTATATACATTCACGATGGTATATACACTCACGATGGTATATACGCTCACGATGGTATGCACAGCGGCACAGACGGGTTCGCGGATTTATCTATACCCCGGCATTGTCTGGGCCAGCCTCGTCAAGTCTCTTGCTCCTTGCCTCTCGTTACACGGCGCTTTCATTAAGCGAGGCTTTGACAAGCCCTAATTGGAGCTCCCCGCTGTTGGGAATGATGTTTGTGGCTCAGTTCTTCACTGTTCCAAATCGAATCTCTGCGCGCGGAGTCTGTACTGAATGTTGAATCGGCCCACGCTGGTTTTAACCCCTTCGCAGTCTGTTGAACGCCGTAAAGCGATAGAATCAGTCCGTGAAATATCGAATAATGAATTATGATAATGACAAGTAGGTGTGTGTCATGCTCAAATAAAGTTACCCTGGGGTGTCACGGTGGCTAGGAGATGCTGAACTCCCTCGCCTGGTATGTAGGAGGTCGTGGGTTCGATCCCGACCCTGACGTCTATATATTTGGAGTTTGCGTGTCTCTCTCCCCGTGGTCGCGTGGATTTTTCTCTGGGTCCTCCGGTTTATCCCTCCAAATTTAGAATCACGCCTTGATATTGTTTGGCTGCTATACATGTCCACGTGATAAGCCACTTCGGTGAGCTAACTATAGAGCTCAGTGGGCATTACGTGGTAATACTCTTTGGTTCTTTCGGTAAAGTCACGTATAAAGAGAAAATAATAAATTAAATACTAGCATACGACGTTTCGATTGCAACACAAGCAATCATCATCAGGTATAAATGAAATAGAAACACAAATCTAGTATACTTAGAAATGTAATGTAATACAACAGAGAGTCGGATAACATAAGTCAACACCCTACCTGGTTGATTACGTTCTTCCTGAGAATGCTTACGTGGTAAACCAAAAAAAGTTGAGTTTTATAGTTTACGGTAAACATTACCGTACAATGAGTTATGGAACAGGGATAGACATTTTAGCGGTTTCGATTCCATGTTCAATCCATACGAATGACCCCATGCTGTAACCAATCCTCGAACACTCCAGTAGGCAAACCAATACAAAGATCCCCCGTGTACCCTCAACAGACTTTTGGGGCAAGTGCTGTTAGCGAGCACCTATGAATGCCAGTTTGTTGCGGTTGCACCCGATTCAAGAGCCGAATGGCTCACAGGGCTATACCTAATAAATGAATTTTGAACTTTTGAACGGCACTCGAGGGGGTGGGTGGCCTGCACCACGCCCGACCGCCTTTGTCTCCAGTGTTGATGTTTACACATCACACCAGGTACTAAGTTGAGGCTGAGTCGACCTCGGGGAGTCCCAGGACCGGTTAATTTATTCGTCACTTGTATTGGTGGCCGTGAGCGGAAATCAAACTCAGGTCGCCGGGTTCGTAGCACAGCGCGCTAACCACTACACCACCGTTCCCCATGCTGTAAACAAATACTCACACACACTGCTTCAGGCTTGGACCACATGCAGCGATTTGGGAATCGACGCTAACCACGTGGCATCGCCTGCCATTGGTTTGCACGAGGATTACGCGTGTACTCTATACTCCCTCCATATTTAACCTCATGGAAAAATAGGGTTGCGTTCTTGGGTTTCGAAATTATCACTCCCTCCCTCGTTGTTGAACTAATTATATAAATCTCTACCCTTGTTATTGTGCTAATGCAGCGGTTCTTAACCTGGGGTGCGAGACGTGCCAGATTTGTTACGGAAGGTACTGTTAATCATCGAAACACAAATTAAGCTTGGGCACGTAAATACAACTACTTTGCTTCATCAAACCCTGTGTATTTGTTAAGATGAAAAAAAATTAACCCGTAAAAACAACGTTTTTCACTATAAATCCTTTATATGCGTGGCATCGGTTTTATTTAATTATTCATTTCTGTTTTTCTTGAGTAATTTTTATCACATTGGTATTGTAAATTAAATATGAAAAAAAATTCCTAAAAAGTGGAAAATTTTGGAGAAAAAAAATTCACAAAAATAATTTGTCACGCACAACGAGTCTGTGTGCAAAATGTCAGCTCGATTGGATCACGAGAAGTGGGTTAAAAAACGACCGAAAGATTTGCACGGTCGTAAGCGCGCATGCAAGCAAGGAAGTGAACTTAATATAAAGGATTTAAAAATACCGATTGAGAGCCGAAGGGGTGCAAGAGTTGCAGTAAACATGAAGCACCACTGTACCACGTGATGCCGAGTCTCTCAATTCCGTGTGTGTGTGGACACTCTTTTTCAATTTCACCGCAACACAAACCACCCCTCCCCTGTCTCCTTTCCTCTTCCCGAGGCCCGAATACTCGAAACCCAAAGCTCGCCCCTATCACCGTCACTTGAACGTCAACGATTCACCATCGAGGATTCAACGAGTGGATGGACAGATGCATGCAACAATGTGTGGACATTTGCGTTGTATGTATGTTGAACTTATTTCGCATCGTACATAGCCAGTCGTGCTAATCGGAGGTGCAGGGGAAGGACAATAAACTAAACACAAAAAACACTTCGAAATAAATTAGTTTTCAGTGCAGTGCGTGTTGAGTGTTACATTACACTGTGTAACAAAGACATGTATTTTTGTTCCTGAGTAGTAAGTGTTATTTCCTAATTTGCATATGCCTCAAAGGTGCAGAAAATGGCTATTATTCCCCACAAACTTTGCTTTTGTGACCAGGACAGTGATATTTATAAATGTACCTATTTTCAATGAGAAAACGGGCGAATTTGTGTCGCTCATTCACATAAAGTCCCGGTCACAAAAGCAAAGTTTGTGGGGAATAATGTCCATTTTCTATATTTTTGAGGCAATTCTATTTGTAGGGGTACAACTGCAAAACACGACTTCATAACTTGGGCAATTATGGAAGGCAAGACAGGGCAGGATCTAAACAATGAAATAAATAGTCGAGCGACAGCAGTTTGGAGTGCTTTTGTGAAAATGTATTATATAACTCGTCGCTTTAATTAAAGGCGCTGAACAGATGTGGCCGATATTACAGCAAGTGCTGACAATCATAATTCAAACGAGAATTATTCATGCATGGCCAGGTGTAACACCTGGATGGTGTGCGCGCTTGTGTGTGCAACAAGCGACATGCAATTACTGCTTAAAATTTACTGATACTCAGAGGCAATACATTGGTTTAATACGTGTCATCTGAAATATGTTCAGTCCACATTCATCTAGATTAACCGGTCTCTAGAGGAATGGTGAACATATATGTATCCTATAACACATTCCTGCGGAGGGAGCTGGTAGGAACGTTGGGTTGCTCGGTCAATGGCCAGGGTCAACGGCGGCGTGGTGTATTCCGCAAATATGCCCGACCTGTGAGGGCGGGCACAAGCCGGCGTGAGTAGGTTAAACGTTGAGTTTTATAAGGGCACCACGGGGTGACCAGCCCCTCCCCACCCAGCCCCTCCCCACCCAGCCCCTACCCACCCTCCCCACCCAGCCCATCCCTGCACGACGGACAGACGGACACAATAATCCCCTGTGGGCTGGTGTAACCAGGAGGTTCCTACCAGTAAGATACATGTATACAGCACATTCGACTGTTGCATATGGGATGCTTATGTTGTGTGTGTTTAATTATGGGGATATGGGAATTATTTTTATTAACGTTGTAATTTCTCACCTTTGGTCACTTGCACTGAAATCTGCGGACGGGGATGTAAAGCGGTGAAACGACGAATGGGGGCGATTGATGCAACCACGCGGCCTCTTCCACTGATTTCTGCAGGTGCCAGATGTAACTGATGAATTTAATCAAGCCGGAATGTTTCCCGGAGTATAAATTGAATTGATTCTATCTCGCAAAAGAATTGTTTGGGGGCCAATGCGTGTGTCCATTGTGGCGCAAATGACATCTGCGAGAAATACTTATCATTCTGCTGTGAACTTAGCAGCCGCAGTTAATCAGGTCACCACCCACCGCGGCCTGAGTGCAGGGGAGGTAATATCGTGAGCCTAAATGGACACTGGAAGAATAGTGAAAGCTTAATTCACAGTACGATGACACCCATTCGAGTGAGCTCAAGGCTATTCGGAATACAATTGTCGGATTATTACGCCGGTATTGAACATGGGATGTGACCTATCATTCCATTACATGGTATGGAACATGTAACAGCGTGCGCACATGTATTTCACGATCTGTTTATAAGTAAAATCGCGTTCTTTTTTACGTTAATATTGGTCGAGCGTGCTGGCATTGTATCTTCCCAAACATTGTCTCGATAGATTGGAAAAACTCAATGTCAACAAAAAAAACCACTGCTGTCGTGCTGCACGAAAAATATATAATTATCTTACAATTGTCAATTACACACACACATTATACCACGTGCTTTCATGTAAAGAATATACAGTGAGCACAGTGGCCTGGTGGTAAGAGCAATGCGCTACGAACCAGAGGTCGCAACTGGGTACCCGATACCCGTACCCTACCCGATACCGAGCTAACCGTACCCGGCTGGATACGGGTACCCAG